TCCACATTAGGGTACACATTAATCGCTTTGGCTTGGCTTGTTGATTGTAGGAATTTCACAATTGGGATTAATCAAAAGTGCAAAAAGAAGAAGAAAATTCTAAAATTGGCATAGTGTATGCCAATGTTTTGCCCTTTTCACAACATCGAACATGCCCATCTACATACAAACACTATAAAATAACTCTGCTAAGTTCTGCATCTAACCAGTGATCCGCTTCTCCGCCATAAACTATTAGACTCTATAGAAAATTTTAATCAACGAAACAAAGTCTAACGTTGAGATTTTTAGGTTTTTCGTCTTATTTTCAGCACACGCCAACTTCTCGTAACAGAAATTTCCAGACTGTTGATTGGTGAGATAACCTCTGCAAAATATGTATTAGCTTAGACGCTCTCTACGAGTAGAGAGCGTCTAAGCTAATACATTTCCAAGAAAGTGCTAAAAATGTCTAAAATTCCTAGTTTTTTTCTTCCTGACTTATCTGTAAATTGTGAAAGGTGCCTTTGCTTTAAAAAACACTCATTTTTCCTTAGTAGCTCGGGAAGAAGTTCACAGATGTGGATATCATTTTTATTATTATTTTTGCGTTTATTATTCGTTACGCTTGCTAGAAGTCTGACCTATATATACTTTTCAAAATTGTAATTTTAGTGGGTATACACTATGCATTCCATGTTCGCAGTTGCGCTTGCATGTACTTTAGCCACAATGCTCCTCGCCCAACAGGTTAGTGTAACTTCATCTCAGAATACCTCCTTTATTCTATAAAACAGCTTCAGATGGAAGATGATCTTTCGGCCGACAAGCGAGTGAGATCCTTCGCGTTCGCCAAAAGATCTCCCTACAGACAATTCGCATTTGCAAAGAGGTCTGTGAATGAAGAGGAGAGCGAAGTCGAGAAACGAGCTCGGTTCGCATTTGCAAAGAGGTATGTCGACACCCGATTACTGCTGAATAATTCAGCGTCGATTGCTCGCCGTCTACTATACGCCTGTTTTTTCCCGCATAGAATGAGCGCCTGAATGACTGATTCGAGATTTGCTCATTTCTGTATGCAACTAGCGATAAGCGTAGTTACCACTAAGTAAATAACCGTCTAGCGAATAATAAACAACGCAGAATTATCTGCTTCGAGAGCGCTCTCTCACGAAATTAAGCACTAGAAAACATCTGCATCGAATTTTCTAGTGAAGTGGATAAGGAGCTGATGCGAAAAATGCATTGACAGAATTTCCTTGTAATCACGCTGATTTGTGGTGGAACAATAATACGCCAATACCGCAATCCTATTTGGTAAACGAGGATCTCCGCGTTTTACGTATGAATGGCGATAAAGTATAATGCAATATGCAAGTTCAGAAGCCTAAACCCTTCTACAGCATCATGCCTTCATATCTTCCTGTATC